AACGACATCTATAAATTTCAAATCTCCTTTTAGTATGGCTCCGCAGAAAATATAAGAATTGAAAGGTAAATTGCAATAATTGATAGATAAATGTTTCCTTAGACCAAGTAATTTGCATTGCATTGCTCTTGTATTATTTTTCAAGAATAAAGATGAATCTATGAGGTTATACATTGATCATAGAGAGTTGAACAATGTGACAATATTTAATAAATATCACTTGCCCATGATAGATGATTTGTTTGATCAGTTGAAGGGAGCTACTATATTTTTCATGATTGATCTGAGATCGGAGAACCGAGTCAAGCTAAGAGGGCAAATATAACTAAAACAACTTTTGGGACCAAGCATGAATTATGAATTCCCCGTTATGCACTTTGGTTTAACAAATACTCCTGCAATTTTTATGGATCAGATAAATAGAATATTCGAGCCTTACATGAATAAATTTGTTATTATTTTGATTGATAATATTTTGATATATTCAAAAAATGATGATGATCCTACTAAACATCTGAGAACAACCTTGGAGCTGTCGAGGTAGAATCAATTATTTGCAAACTTTTTCAAATATGAATATTGGTTGCAGAGCATTATATTTTTTTGCATATCGTTAGTGAGCAAGGAAACTTAGTCGATTCTCAAAAGATGAAAATAATTGTGAAATGGCCGACACTAAAAAATGTTATAGAAGTACACAGTTTCGTTAGTTTGGCGGGATATTATAGGGGTTTGTTAGATGATTTTCATAAGTAGTTATCATTTTCCAAGCTGATGAGAATAGATATTAAGCTTGAGTGAACTAAAGAATGTGAGCATGTCTCAAGAAATAAAGAACCATTTGACTATTGCACCAGTACTAGCTATCCCAGAACCGAGGGATTCCAGATTTATAATGACACATCATTGAGAGGCTTGAGATGTATTTTTAAGCAAAACAAATGAGTATTAATATATGCATCTAGAAAATTAAAGCTACATGAAAGAAATTATCCAACTCAAGATCAGGAGTTGACTATTGTAGTTATTGCTCTCAAAATTTGGAGACATTACATATATGACATGAAGTGCGAAGAATTCACTAATCATCAGAGTCTGAAATATATTTTCACACAAAAAGAGTTGAATTTGAGAAAAATGATATAGTTAATGCTTATCGAATACTATGACAAGGATACTTAGTATTGTTCTAACCGAGCAAATATGATAGAGGTAAGAAGACCAAAGATATTGGTTGTTTACATCAGTTAATTGTGCAAACAATTTTAATTGACCAAATTAAGGCAACCCAGAAGGTTAACAATGAATATCAGAAACTCATTGAACAACTTCAGTCAAGAAAGAAGATGGTATTATAGAAAGAAGTTGTAATTTTGGGCACCTAATATCCTAATTTGAGACAAAAACTTTTATGTGAAGCTCATCATTCAGGATATACAATTCATAAAGGCAACGCTAAAGTGTATAATGAATTGGAGCTGATGTCCTGATGGTCAGGTATGAAGAAAGATGTTGTTGAGTATGTGTCAAAATGTCAGTCTTGTTAAATTGTCAAAAATGAATATCAAAGACCCGATGTATTAGTCAATCATTGCCTATACTTGAGTGGAAATAGGAAGAAATAGCGATGAATTTTGTTATGGGATTTTCTAGGTCCATATAAAGTCATGATAACATTTAAGTGATTATTGATAGGTTAAGTAAATCAACACAGTTCTTGCCAATTAAACAGTTAGACTAAGTAGCAAATTTGGCTTGTATATCAAATAAATCAAAGAAATCATTAGACAATACAGTATTTAAAACTTAACATTTTTTATACAGATAGAAGATTAACATCCGGTTTGTGGAAAGGTATTGAAGAAGGGTTGGGCACACATTTGTATTTTAGAACAACATTTTATCCATAAACCTACAGACAATCAGAAAGAACAATTCAGGTATTAGATCTTGAGACTTTGTCCTTGACTTGAAGGCAAATGGATAGTTCATATTCTGAAGATTGAGCTTGCATATAATAATAGTTATGAATCAGTATAAAAATGGCTCCATATTAAGCATTTTATGACAAGAAATGCAGAACTCCATTAGAGGTAAGAGAACATCTATTGTTAGGTCCTGAATTGGTTGATGAAGCTACAAATAAAATCCGATTAGTCATGGACATATTAAAAGTTGCTCAAAATCGAGAAAAAAATATGTTATAACTCAAAGCACATAACAATAAAGTTAAAGGTTGGTGAATGTGTTTTTCAAAAGTAATGCCAACAAATGATACAACCATATTTGGTTAAGGATCTATTTGAAATTATAAAAATGATTGTTCCAGTTGCTTACATGCTAGTTTTACCTGCAAATATGTCAAATATTCACAATACGTTCCACATCTCAATGTTGAGAATATGAGTTTAGGACTTGGACCGGAGAATTTAACATGAAGATATAGAAGTGCAGAAAGATTTAACATATATTGAAGAGTCTAAGAGAATTTTATAATATAATGTTAAAAAGTTGAGGAGCATGCATATTCCTTATATCAAGATGAATTGAAAGAACATACCATAAAAAGAAGCTATTTGGGAAAGAAAACATGACATGCAACATAAATTTCCCTTTCTATTCAAGTAAATATGCAGGAATAATGAGGGCAAAAATTTTATAAGCAGCGGAGTATTGAAATACCAAATTTTGACCAAGTTAGGTAAAAGTCGATCAATTTTAAAATATATTCAATTTTTTGCATTCACCAAAATTCAACCAAATTATTTTTATAAAATTATGCAAGTTGGATCGCTCCAATTGATATATACACTACATATGGACTATGGATATATTTGGAACCATGAAAATAAAATGATAATAACTTAATTAAACTAATTAAGCATTTAATTAAAAGCCTAATCTTGCACACAATGGTAAACCCACATTTTGTGGCATGCAACAGCCGTTGTATCGAAGGTTCGAATGAAGTTAAAAACAATTTATCCTTCATTTTTCCCCTCTCCAGCATTATATTTTAGAGAGCTTGGGCATTACCGCAATTCCAACACTCTAGCAGGGTTGCACGAATGGTGAAGAGGGAGCCAGAACTTCTGTTTTGGGAGCGTTGGGAAGAAAATGTTAAGACAAACCTTATTTTTAGGCTCATTGAAACACTCCTTTTCTTTCTCTGAAAGTGTGCAATTTTAATTACTAAAAATGAAAAGTTACAAATGAGAGCTATAAAAGTCACACAAAAATGCAGAGTATGGTTGGCATCAACATACACCACATTCAAAAAAGCAAGGTTACAAATTGGAGCATCCCAAACAAAAGAACTTTCCAAAGCAATCTGGAGCACTCGTTTCCTTTCCAGCAATCTTATTCTGCAATTTGTCATGAGCTGGAGCATTTATGTATTTCGGTAACTATAGCACAAGTAGAAAAATGATATGGAGTTCTGAACTGAGACGTGGTCATTTGGTTTTCTATTGATAGTTTCCAAAATCTGGGCAGAAAAGTGGAAGAGAAATGGGAAAGAGAAGGAAGACGAGAAATAAGGATTTAAGGAGAAGTTTGGATTTGGAGGTAAGAACTTTCTGTAGGATCACTATGTGATTTATTTAAATGAGACCTTTCTTAAAAAATTCTTAATATTGTCAAGATATGCAAAATTTCAGTTGGATCATTATGTGTTTATTTTATGTACTGTGGTTGTGGTCACAAATATGAGCTATGATTGCATAACACATTATTTTTTTCCGTTTATAAAATCTTACTTTAATCTTGATTATTTTGTTGAGCTTGTAGCTAACTCCTATATGTTATTGATTTTTAGAAAGGGGTAAGAAACACCATGGCGAGTTAGGTGTGACTTTGTACAGCTTTTGGATTGTATCATTTTGAAGTTGCAAAAGCATTTAGGTACGTATTTTTATATGTTGGATTTTAATAGCTTTGTATAAATTTTGGTGATATTGTTATACACGCTTCCAAACAATTGAGAATGTTAATAAATTTTGAATTAAAACGGATTGTTACTGTTTGTGATAATTGAGTTGAATTGATTCATTAACCACTAAGTCCTGATTTGTACAAGTAATAACTAGTATTATAGGAATTACATCTGACTGAGTCGTCCACCTCTATCACACTATGACTGATCCTAAAATGAAGGTCAGCTAGGAAGTGATAGAACCCCTCTAATGATTTTAGCATTATGAACTTGGCTTGCGTCTAAATATTAGCATAATCAATTTTTATGAGAAATTCAGTACCTCCACGCTTTATTAATAATTAAGGTCTGTTTGGGACAATTTTCTATATGTTTTGCATTTTAGAACACCACAACCAATTTGTTCAGGAAATTCCTTCCTTGTTGTTTTCTAGAAAGTTCTATGGTGGGAATCTATTTTTTTCAACCTGATTTGTTAAAGTGCAGTTCCGTTCAATGCATCATTATGCTGAGGAATGATTTGATTTTTTTTTTTTTTTTGGAAAAAAATATATATTTACAATTCGCACAGTAGCTTGCTCCACGACAACTTTACAGCCACATTTTCAAAATGCTGCAGAAATCCCAAAGAGAACCTTACTAAGAAATGTTTCTTTTTTATTTTTATGGCAGTTTTATGCAAATTCATTATCATATATCCTTTTTACTGATTAGTCATAAAATTTTAAGCACATACTCGGTTGCAACATGCAAGAATCATATATCATGTTTACATATCTATTTCTAGTGCTGCTACAAAAGCCATGCTTAACTAAACATATTTATATGATTCTTGCAACATGCAAGAATCATATATCATGATTACATATCTATTTCTAGTGCTGCTACAAAAGCCATGCTTAACTAAACATAATTAGAAATAAAAAAGGTTGAAAAAATGCAATATTTAAAATTAAATAAAGGACATTTCCCTCATAAATATCTTATTAGATCAAATGAATATAATTTGTTCAGTCTAGTAGTTTGATAAATCCATGCAAAAGTATAATAGAAAATCTGAACAAACCATTGTAAAGGTAGGCTCTTGATGTTGAAGCCAGCACTCAACATTCTCCACTTGCGGCATTTGTCACATTGAACCCATTCATGATCAGGCTTAAACCGTTCAACATTGGTTTCCTGCACAAAGAAGAAGAAAATATAAAGATAGCAGAAGTTTTGATGAAAAACAACTGTACTATTTCCACAAATTTGGCCATAATTTTGTGGGACAAGAAACCCAGCCATATAGCAAGCTAACGTCAAGTAAATCATATAGTTTTATCATCAAAATTGCGAACGGACAGATTGCAACCTGATATAGCCACATGGCTTAATGATTCTACATAAAAACTAACTCCACCACAAATCAACAAATGACCCACCCCTCTAAACACCCAAAACAACACAGCCAATGGTTTAAAGACTAAATTTTACCTGTAGACACTGGATAGAACTTTATTGAGATAATGCTAATGTGAGTGCATAGTGTACCATGTTGCATACTAGTTATGTGTTTCCTTTTTTTTAAATAAGCAGTGAAAATACACTTTCTACTCTCTATGAGCCGAGACAAATTGGAGTATAGGCTCTGGATCTACCACATAATAAATAACCTGCAAAATTTAGGAGTACCTATTTATCATTCACATCCCAACCTGTTGGGTTAGATTAACTTGTTGGGTTAGATTTTAGTACTCATTTAGCATTCACATCCCTACAGAGAATATTTCATTATTTGTCCATTAGGTTAGGAAATTCGAAGTCAATTCTTAACGCTTTTCTTCCTTGCCAATTCTTCTTACCTCTCCTTCTTGCCATGAAAGTGATTTCTAGCTAAATTGGTTCGAAATCTAGAAACCCTAGAATACAAATTGCTTAATTATTGCTACATATCTTAGGGTTTGAGTGTGAAGGCTGAAATTTAGAAAGGCTTTTGGCGTGGAGAAATCTTCAGATATGAAATTCAATTTCTAAAATAAATCTTTTTTTAAGGTAATTGCCATTTAGATTAGGTCGCCTACAAATCAATTTCATGCCAAAGAGAAAACTTTAGGAACTTCAAGAAAATCTGAAAAATACTTTATAAATATTTAGTAAATCTTACTATAGGTGTAATACTAAAAAAAAAACTAATAAATAAACTTGCTTCGATTAATTGCTAAAAAGATGAATTCAGCGATGGAATATTCAATTGGAGAAGAAATAAGAAATTAAATTGTGCACACTAACTTGGAAAAGTTGTAGCAAACCCTAAATTTAATTTTTCACATTTCATATTATATATATATATATAATTGCGTTGTCTTCCTCGATATCGTTCTGCTAGGGTTTCGCCGTTATGGCGAACGTTGGTTTTGCTTCACTGCTCTGGCTTGAACTTTTTTCGTTTTCGTCAGTATCGCGAGTCATACTTACGGTTCGTCTTCTGCGGGAGTGCGGCCAGTAAAGGATCGTCTTTGGCGGCTTCCTGCGTGTCACTGCGAGATCGTGTTCCGTGAATCTTCTGCAGCATCACCTAGTTGACGACGTATTCTCCTTAGTTGTCGTGGCTCGTGTCGTTGTCTCTCGCACTCAACGACGCCACTATCGCCTTGCCCGACAGAAGGTTCCCTTCAAAGTCTACTCGTCTTTGTTCTAGCGGCTCGCTTAGCCGTTCTGGAGATAGTCTTGACATGCATTCCTATGCCAATGCACTTACCGGCGACTTTCCTATTTCTACTCGTGCTCCTCTTTCAGGTTCAGAGCCTGATTTTTATATTAGCAAGTCCTAAAATGTTCCTCAATCTTTTCACGACGCTATTAAAGATGATGGTGATCACACTTTCATTAAAAAGCTTGGCAAAAAAATAGAAAGTTTGCTCTAATTTTCACTGAGGTTGAAACAAGCTCTCTAGCGTCCACTTGGCATTTTGCTCTAGTGGAAACATTTTTGTATGATCACCCAAAACTCGAGATCATTTGGAAAGAGTTTGATGCTATGAAACTATTGAGCAGTTGAAATTTTGACTTGATCGTTGACGTATACTTATTCAGTTATCTCATGATGCCGATTACATTCGTATTTTTTTCTTCAAAAGTGATCAAGATCGACAACCATTTTATGAAAATTCTGAAATGGACTGTCAATTTTGATCCAAAAGTGGAGTCCTCTATCATTCCTGTTTGGATTAAGTTTCTTGGGTTAAAATTATATCTGTTCAATCTGAAAATTTTCTACTTTTTAGCAACTGCTTACAGTAAGCCTCTCAAGATTGATAGTCCTACACTTTTTAGCAACTGCTGCCATTATAATATGACTTAAAAATTCTCTACTTTTTAGCAACTGCTGTCACCAGACCCTTTGTGGCTTGTGTGTTAGTTGAGAGAAACATCACTCAACCAGCTCCAGATGTGGTATGGATTGACACAACTAACAATGTGTATTCACAAAATATTAAAATAAAACCACACCCTCATTGCTCTCATTGTAGTATGTTTGACAACAGTTCTAATATTTGTTATCGCTTGCATCCTCATCTAAGACCGAATGTCGCTAAAGATCAGCCACCTACCATCCGAGCTAAGAAGGTAAAACCCGATCCTCTTTCTAACACCGTAGTTCCAAATGAAGAACATCATACTACAGTTACAGATCTAAATGTGATTATACCACTCACAGTTATTGAAGAACACTCACTTACATGCCAAGACTCACGAGAGTGCTCATTCAATCTGATAAAAGATTTGCTGGTACAACAAGTATTTTCTTCTAATGTACAATAATCTGTTCAACAACATACACATGTTCGACACACTTTAGATCAATCCACTGATCATATGAGCCAATCTTCGTCAATCTTCGGATGAGGAATAACAGGTCTATTCCAGGAGGAAGAAGAAGAATGGCGGCCGACTCGAGCTTGGGAATTTATTGGGTGATACATTGGTTACTACTGACAATGACACTTATCTTACCAATTTATTAGCTGACTCCTTTCTTAGAACTAGAGACAGATGCAATGCTAAAATTGGGTCGCTCTCTAGCTACCTGATACTTAGTATTTTGACACTTTCGTTTTTTCTTTAGGTCTCTCGTGCATTTTTCTGTATTTTCTCTTTTTGGAACCACTTGATGTGGTTATCATGTGGGCAGGGTGTTATGTTTGGGTCCTCCCACACAATCTATCTGTATCTTACTTTTTATTGAATATATTAGCCACTGGGAAAAAAGGCTAATATATTAATAGGAAAAAAATTACAGATACAATGTGTGGCAGGGCGGGAGGGCGCAAGCATGATACCCTGTCCACACAAAAAATCACAAAAGGTTTCAAAACTAGAAAAAACATAAAATACATTAAATACTAAAATAAAAAGCCTAACCGTGTCAAATTACATAGTATCAGGTGGCTAGAAAGCGACCCAATTTGGTCGTGCCTCTACCTCTAGTTTTAGGGAAGGAGCAAGCTCATAAATTGGTAAGATGATCATAATTGCCAGTAATAATTAATGTATCATCCAATATGTTTCCGAGTTGGAGTCAGTCTTCATTCTTCTTCTTCCTCCTAGAATAGACCTGTCATTCCTCATCCAAAGAATCAGTCTGATGGGGTGGTAGAGCTGAAGCAAAATGAATACCAACCGTAGTACCCACAATAGGTTCTAGTATATGTGAAGTATGAGTTGTCTCTACACCGGATACTTCCTGAAGAAGTGGAGCTACGAGGCTCTTCAGATTATCAGCCCTAACACTATCATTTGTAGGTAATAGTCCATCAGTATTGTTTTCTATAGGGTTTAAAATTTGAAAGTGTCAGCATCACATCACTCGCAGTAACAGTAACGGCAAGGGCAAGAGAATCAGACACCAAAATCTGTCTTGTGGTAGTTTTCTCTCCAGGTGGTACAGATATATCTTTAGAATCATCCTTATTCACTTAATCTTTAGATTTCAAATTAGGTTGAAGCTTATGACATTTATCAAGAATATGTCCAAACATCTTACAATGAGAACAATAAAAAGGTTCATGCTCCATGACGATTTGTTGTCAATATTCATTATTCATTGTGTCCAACCAGACTTCAGTAATATCAGGCAAAGTAATATCTCTTTCCACAAATATTCTGGCCACAAAAAGTCTGGTAAAGTTGAAAGTGGGTAGATCTAGCTTCATAGGGTCCCCAAGTATGACACCAATAAAGTAGAGAACTTGATGATGAAAAAAATGCAGCTTGAGACTAGGTAGACTAAACCATACCGGTACAGTAGGAGGTTCATGATTGGGGTCAAAATCAGGAGACCACTTGAGTAGTTTCATTGGCGTACCAGCAATGTTAAGATATTTTTTGGAGAAAATACGAGTGTAGTCTTCAGACACGGTTAACTTAATCAAAACATGTCTCCTATCCATGAGCCCCAATTTCCACTTTCCTGCTAATTTGAGGCCATCAAAATTTTTTCTGATAACTTCCAAAGCTAAGTGTCTCCACTAAAATTTCCCAATGAGTGTAAATTTGAATTTGTCAGTCAAGGTTGAAATTTCTAACTCAGAGAAAAATAGTGTTGTCTTCCCACTCTTCCTGCTTGCATTCACGATTCTTCTTATAACTTGAGGGAAAAATTGTCGTCAGCCCCCTGAGGTACCCACAATGTAGGCAAATATAGGTTTTACCGGGCTCAACCGAAGGAGGAAGCTCCATCACAGAAAAGAAAAGCCCTGCAAGTCGGGCTGAGGGCAAAAGAAGACGAGTCGGGGCCAAGTTGCGCAGAAGACGAACCGCAGATGTAGAAACTGTAGCGGCAATCTTAGCACACCGCAGCTAGACAAGGCAGAAGACACGAACCATAGAAATGGCGCGGAGGAAACGGCGAAACCGCAGAAGCTGGAAGACGCCGCGGTTTCATCGCTGGGCACGAAGCAGCACGAAGGAGGAGACGACCACGAAATCGAAGCCTTGCGTCGCTGGGCACAAAGGATGAGACGACAATCACAGAGGAGATTAACGAGCACGAGCGAGCGTCAGTGGAAACGACGTCTTCCCTATTAAAAGAAGACTACGGCTAGAAAGTATTAACCTTTCAGGATGAAACATTGCATTCAAAATAAACTGGGGGAATTACATGAGTCTACAATAAGGCAGACAAAGAAGGTCCCCAT